AAGTAGGTATGTATGTATTTCGAGCAGTGTATATCTTCTGTATTTTAAAATTAGAAATATAAATAGTTTTAATTCCTGTTACTTGTTTTAATTCTTGACTTAAAACAAGTTAAAAATATTTTTTGTTTTAATGTCTCATATATTTATCCCGTAAATGTTCTTTATGGAAAAAAATTGCTGTAATTCTTGTTTCAATGATCAAATATGAAACGAAAATGAAACTATTACACGTCTGGCTGGAAAAAATCATTTTTCTAACAATTGAATGTACGAAATTGTTTATAAGCGCATAATCACAATAAAGTATTTTATTCTACATTTTTTTACTCTTTTATTTCAATACAAATTCATACTGATGTTATTGTTCCTGTATCAGTTACAAAATTCTGTAAATTACCGTTTTCATGGAAAAGAAGTTCAATAAAAGATTGTCGAAATATGTATTTTTCAATGAACATCACCACACAGGTAGGTAGAAACATTCTTTTATGAATCGATCCTTCGACAATACATCTATCGTCTTTCGCTACCATGGAAAACATTTCGTACATATATCTACTTAAAGAAAAGAATGTTTAAAAACATCATGTCGTCGCGAGAAATTATGTTGATAGAGCCAAAGCCACCGGGAGAATCAACTACGCATCGACTAGCGAAACACACTGAAACCCGACGACACGATGGGCTTCGATTGATTTGGTATTAAACGATACTAATTGCTTTCACGTGACAGCTATTGTTGACACAAAGCAATAATTTAGGATTTAGGAGCAATAAGAACTGCATCGAGATAGTAGAGTAGACCGTGAGGTCAGATAAACCGATGGGTTTCGCAACGAGTCTCAATCAGTGAGTACTTCGGCTGAATTTTGAACTTGATCTTTGTTCGATTTCAGAGGCCAACGAATCAATTTCCGTCAGAAAATTCACCCGTATCAACTAACGAACTGAAAAAAATTATTTATAACTATGAATAAATAAATACATAAACATTCTGTTAACCTCGTTTGTTCATTGAGAAATTACTTTAAAATTTATTTTAAATCATTTTAAAAAAGTATAATAAAATTAATTAATCTTAAATTATTATTTTTAACTTCATATTGTTTTGTTAATAAACAAAATGAAATCACTCGCCGTTATTTTTACGGTGTGCCGTCCGATGATATAAAAAATTTGCACTTCGAACTAAAAACAGTTTTTAAAATTTTCACTATGAAACGAGATGCAAATATCAGACAGGTCATGAACGAGGTGATAATAAAGTGACTGAACAACTTATTAGACAAGTCTTTTTGACACGCGGTTAAATCTATATTAATTCACAAAACTCATCGTCCAACGATGTGAGTAACAATTAAAAAATTTCTTTACAAAAGTTTGCGAATTGTAAAACTATTAGAAATATTAGAAATAATTATACTGTCGATATTTCCGCAGATTCGCTACTTTGTAGTTCAATTTAAGAAAAATAGCATTAAACGGAAATATGTTTTTTATTAAAGGCTCGACTTGGATAGAAATAAAATGAACACTGTATTAAGTCACACGAGGACTTTAATTTTTCAGAGAAACCGAGAGAATTTGCTGTTCAATTTTCTGAGACATTGATTACCGAGTCTGAATAAGCGATTCTAATATTAACAATGAGTAACGGGACTCATTGAAGTCATTAAACCGTAATTAATTCCTCTGCTTATTATGCATCCAAATTTACGCTACACAAAAAAACGTAACAGATTATATTTACATTGTCCTTTATTAGAAAAACAAATATTCGTACCCGGTGATGTAAACAGTTTCTGGTTCTTTATAAATCAAGAGGTGAATTGCATATGAACCCGTAAATCGTAATAATGGAATAATTACATGAAATTCTGATTCATTTGAAAAGAAACGTTACAAGATCAACTAAAATGATAAACAGAAATTTAGCTGAAACTTTATTCGAAATAATTTTAAACCTAATAATATCTAAAGTAAAAAAAAGAATGGTCAAGAAATCTATTATTAAACATGACACAGCGAATTCGAAATGTTATAAAACAGAGAGAACGTAGTATCTCAAAAACTGTTAAAATTTTGTTAGTATTATGTATGTCAGACATATTATTTTGTCAGCCCCGCAGCTATTCGACTTTAAAGTGCTTTTACCAATATTTCCTTATCAGCGTGAATTCATTATTTCGTCGAGTTCTAAAAGGCGTAGGAATATTTTTTTTTTTCAAAAAACATTAAATCCTACAAAACCGACGGTACAAGTGAATTTTTTTCATCAAGTCTGAGATTCCAACAACGTCGATGTCTGCAAATAAATCGGAATACTCGACGCTATTAGCGTGTGCCGATTGATTAACAGGTACCCAAAAGCCTAAATCTGTGAAAGGTGTCATATGCTGTAGAATTAGCAAATATTACAACGAACGTATTACATTTTTAACACTAGAACTACCGAAGATGAACGTGTTCCTATTTCTATCTCGTTGATAAACGGAACAGCTTGTTGAAAATACGCAAATCGATAAATTAACGAACTTCTTCACTTATTACAATAAAAGTTTCAAAGAATCTTGAAAAATACATTAAACTATATCTTTGGCAATTTTTAAATATGTTGGGAATGAAAGGGTTAATAGTGTTCATTCCCTGGTAATATCCGTATTTTTTCTTTTTAATTTAACATTCTTCCAATTTTTCAAATTGAAATCTATACATTTTAAAAAGAAATATACATAGGTATTAAAAAATCTAATTTTCATGTGCCAAATGTCTACTAATATTATCATTAAAAATTTGACTTTAATAGTTACAAAATCTTTTAAATGTTCATTTATTGGTGCATTTCCTTCCTTCCACTGTTATTCAAGTTACGAAAAAATGACTAAAAAAAATAGGGTTGCACGATCTTTACCACTGTCTATCATAGCAAACACTATTCTTGAATTTAGGATAAATGACAGTTTCAAAATGTTAAAATGTTCTTGTAAATCATTTATATATCATATAGTATACGTAAAAATAAAACAAAATATATCTTCGGTAATTCTTAAATAAGTTGGAAATGGAAGGGGTAAGTAAATCCGTTCTCGTACCAATGGAGGATCTGTTTTTCTCTGAACTGGAACGTATCATAGTCACGGGTGTATCGCGATCAAAGTTCATTTTTCGCGACACGCTAAGAAAATGGACACGCTCCGCTAGGCCGTCCAAATGGATCATATGTTTACCACTGACTCAATTTATGACCACGTGACACATACACACACACACACACACACACAATATATATATATATATATATGTACATACTGCGTTCCACCGAGGAATCGTAAACCGATTCGTTTATTGGCGGCGGCGCGTTAACTTGTTAATCCCGAACTATTAGTGTTTAATGTTAGTCAAACAAGTAAACTGTCTCGGTTGTGTTCCCGACACTGTATTTACCATTCGCTGAAGTAGAGTAATAGCTTGAACCCCGTCTGTCAAGGAAGCGACATCCGCTAAAGATAACCAATTGAATTGATTGTGATACGGTAACATTCAATATTTGCCTTTTCAGGCATCATGTGATCCCATCAACATGATCTAACCGTACGTCTGATCAACGTTCCAGTCGGATCGTTTTCCTCGTCCTCCGACAACGACGACGATCCACACACGGTTTTCCTTGACAGAGCCAGGCGAATCGTAACGATGAATTTCCGTGCGCCGTCTGGATCGGTCAGATATATTTCTGGAGTTTCCTTTTTTTTTTATTTTGTAACACGAAGTTTCCGGAAGCAATCGATTATTATAATTTCATGGTACGTTTGACGATAAAATAACTGGTATTTGCTGATAATTTATTAGGTTGACTCGTAATAAATAATAGAACAAATAATAAATTTAATAAATAACTTTCCTTTTCCTTTTTTAAGTTTGTACCTATACGAAAGATATATTTTACTATGAATATTAATCTATAACACGTTTCTTATTACGATTAATCTGAAAAATTGTTCTTATTAACATTGTTATTTCATTGTTATCTAGTCATTGTCTCGTGTCCATGATTGCAGGTATTTACGACCCTACCCAATGTGTACTCTTCTCCTTTGACCACTGTTGTCATTGGAATAGTGTGTTATTTTATTGAAAGAATATTATTCTAAAGATTGCAGTATAAAAGGTAATTGAGTAAAACAGGAAATACCATTGGTACGATAAAAATATTTTAAATAATTTCACATTTAATCCGTAAATCTCCGCGTTATCACTGTATTTTACGAGATAAATTTATGTGACAGCTGACATCTTTAAATCGCATTCGTAGTTTTCCAATTTGTAATCTGCTACGTTTGCAGAGACTTTTCTCGCAAATCATGAATTCCCAGACTGTATCTTAAAAAGCTCGTCGACGAATTAACTCGTCATCCGAAGAAATATAAACTTATAATTTACGTACGTACAATCACCTAGTGTTTCACGTCAACATTTCACTTCGAGCAAATTAATAAAACCGTCAAGAAATCATTATTCAAGTATACACGCGCGTACCAGTTCGCTCCATTATTATAATAATGTCTACAGCTTGCCTCCTATCAAACACGACCGATAAGAACCGGTTTCCCACTTCAATTTTTTCCGTGGTACTCAATAATTTTTCGAACAGTTTTTCCGTCACGCTCGTTCCTAGGACACACGTGTATCCAGGAGACAAGAGAAGAAGAAAAGACCGCGTGATCAATACAGCGGGGCCACATAAGGACGATTTTCAACGTTTTCCATGGAACGAAGATTTTTTCCTGAAACCGGTATCAGAATCGTGGATCTCGTTTTAGGGATCGTTGATCTACAAGCCGTCAAGAGACTCTCTCTCCTCTACTCAAACGTACACACACACACACACACAAAGTTCATTGTTTATAACCTAACATTCCCAACAAACTTCACTTCAGAGAAATCGAAACCTGCGAAAAGCCGGTGATAAAAAAGAAGAAAACAAAAGGATAAAAACTCACCTAAATTCTAAATAACCCTCGTAGTTTCGTAGTTGTCACCACTTTTCCAATAATCGGATTGGAGAACACAGTCTTGATGTCGCGCGAAAACGTAAACCGTTCGAAATTCTAACCCAAAAAATTCGGACCCGCGTGTCAAACCGGCATCTACTTGTTCTTGTACCCGCGACACATTCTATCCTCGTGAAAATACAGAACGATCGATCGGATCATCGGATGATAGATTTTCGTGCACGTATGTATGTAAACGTCTAGGTATTGGAATTCCCCCGTCACTTCATCCGGCTCTGTTCCGAGGTTTCCCCAGGTGAAACGAACGGCCGCGATGAACCACGAGACTTATCGGTACGTATACCGTTCCCGTGACACTTTTCTGTGAAAAATCGTGGGGAGAGACAGCGCGTAGCGTAAGGGCAGCGATCGAGCGAGCGCGCCGCGACGAGAGCGGAAAACACGAAATCGAATCCGGTTTCGGTGCGAGGCTGACGACTGAATCCACGGGAACACGCGGCCGGCCATTTAAATGCGTCGTCGTCGGTTCCTCGACAGTTTGTGCCGTAACCTCTTCCTTCTCCTCCTCTCCCCTTCTCCATTTTGCCCGCGGCCGTCTCTTCGTGGCGCGCACGACACACAGAGAAAACGTCACTGGAGAACAATCCAATTCAGGAGGCATAAGGACTCCTCCTGGCCGTTCGGGGCCTGTTCGTACCGGTTCTCTTGGCCATCACGAGAATTCCCGGCGTACCGATTGATGCAACCCCGCAGACGACGGGAACGTTTGTTTTTCTTTTTCGGTGGATCCTACCCGACCGCCGAAAGTCGAATGTGTATTCATAATTCATTTACCTGAGCGTACCGATACGTATTATAAATATTGTAAACCGACCAGGGTATGTATATATTTGTATTCCGAACCGACCCGATCCGCGGAAGGTGATTTCAGGTGTAACAGGGGGGGAAATAAATAGACTGGCCGAAATTTCTATAAAGTCACCATTATGTTTTTTGATGAATTCTTATAATTACTCCATATTAATGGTAAATTTGTGTTTAGTAGCATTTTGGGATTTATTAAAGAAAGTATACACATTCGGTTTCAAAAAATAAATATAACATTTGTTTTAAAAAAAAAAAGCAAAAATATATAATTCAACGGAGAACAAACCGAAATTTCTTTAATGTCGTTCGTTTTTTATATAAGTAAAGTTGAAATTAACAATTATTTTTCGCTATTTCTATATTAATATTTAGTGTAATCTGTATTTTGAAAATATCTATGAAAACGAAGATGACTTTATAACTATGTATTGATACAGAAATAGTGAAAAACAATTGTTAATTTCAACTTTACTTCTGTAAAAAGCGAATGATTTTATACAAATTAATTAATTAGAATCGCAGTTTGTTTTCTGTTGAATTATATTTTTGTTTTGGTTTTTTAAAAGAAATGTTATATTTATTTTTGCAAACCAATGTGTACGCTTTCTTTAATTAATCCGAAAATGCTATCAAACACGAATTTTTCATTGGTATGGAATAATTATAAGAATTCATCAAAAAACATGGTGACTGTATAGAAATTTTGGCCAGTGTATGTACGGATTTTCGATTAGATTTGACAAAAAGACTTGACAGTTTTGTACGGTGCTTTGCGTTATATAAACATTCGAATTTCTATTTGCTGTTTTCATTTAATGTTGACAATCTTCTTTCAGACATATAGAATGTCGATGCTTTTACTTCGTTGGGATAAACAGTGTTGAAATTTTTGTTCCGATAAGACGTAGTCAAGTTCACGTGAGTTTAAGATTTTTGTTTAATTAGTGCGCCGGTAAAATTCGGTTTTTTCTCGTTTTTTTTACAAGGGAAATTCGGAGATTATCTATCGGAAATGTAGCTCTACAATTTATATTTTGTTTACAAGTTAATTAACAAAAGTTGCGATGAAATTAAAAAGAATTTAAATTAATCTCTATATTGAAAAGTCATCAAATTAATCATTGATTAATTTACGTCAGATATTTTACAAATACGACAAACTTTGTGCATTATCCTAATATGTATTTATAGTATTTCTTATTAACGTGGTCGATTTTTGATTGACTTGGAGATCCGATTGATCGATATTGTATCTGAAAATTTTAAAGCGTCTATAGATAATATGGTAGTTTTATCATTGTAGGTCTTAGAGTACCTAAGTAGACTAATCCTTCTCGCGTGCAATAAATACAACTTTTATCTCCGGTTAATCCTCTCACAACTTCGAGGGTGAAGTTTCAGTCGCCTTTACAAGGATACGTTTATAAAAATTATAACTATTTGTTGCGCTATTTTTTATCGTGAAATTAATATTTTTTCACTGATTGCCAATGAAAAAGTTGAGAAGACAGAATGTTATTGAGCCATTATGCTATGTCAATATTTCGAATTTCCTGGTACAATCACTTGTCTCTGCTCTTCCATGGTATATACACCAAATATTATGGTATTTCTTTATTGGATTCTATGAATCGTAATACTACACAATCGTAGTATGTCTTGGAGGTCAGATAAATGGTTACTGTTTACCTCAAGCAGTAAACTCATTTATAAATACAGTTTTTTTATGTTGATTCAAGACTATCTGAGCTACGTTGGATTTAGTTCGAAAATTCCAATATGTCTGTGCTTTCTTGTCATTTTTGGGATTACGGTGGATATCTGCTGGTGGCATCGACGTCTCTGAAACACTAATTAAACACTATTTAAACGAAAAATAAGAACTAGCAGAACTGTAGCTGGCAAAATAATGCGGGAGGTCCTCCATATTGAAAAATTCAATGCGGCAATAATGAAACCATATAAAAAATCGTACCCTCAATTACTTTCACTGAAAAAAATACATTTGTTAGAAAATAGTTTTGTAGTAATTATTTTCAGTAACGTATATTGTTATCTATGTTATTATCATCAATATAAATCACTGATAATGTTTCTCTCGTTAGGTTCGGTTGAACTTAACAAGACACGAGGTCTGAAAACAACAAGGCTGCGTGTCCTACAAAACCGCAGTCCTATTTACATATTTACATAAAATTTAGCGAAAGATGCGTACGTCCTACGCCGCTTTAACTTACGCGAATGTTTCCACGGAATATCGTAGTGGGAATTAAGAGGAAATTAAAGCTGTTTTAACCCACTAGAAAAAGCGATAAAATTTAGAATTGGATGTACAAATGAATGAATAAGAGATCAACTGTTTCTCCAAACAAGAAAGTAAAATCGTCCACGACATTAAACTAAAAAGTAATTAACGGAAATGTATTGTGAACCTGGCATAGAAAGTTATACTGTTTTAAAGCTGACAAAGAAATACAGAAATATTCACGAAACACTGCAAGTATCGAGATTGCATAAAATTAATAATAAGTTTCAATACTTTGTATTTTAGCTGTAATTGAACAAAATGTATAAAATATAAAAATTACAGATATACTAATTTACCGGTATTAAAGAAAAATATAACATAATGGAATATCGTTAAAATCTGTAAAAAAGATAATATTAAATAATATTATAATCGTATAAATAATTCAATGACACAATTTTCGTCACGACACAGCTTATGAATGGCACGTCGGTAAGAACCTACAAAGAATACTAAACTTGGGAAGCATGCATTGCTAAATATACTGATTTTTGTACCAAACGTTGGAATATGGTTTATTTTGATAATTTGGCCGTATTTAAGCCTTTCGATAAAATTAATGCTTTCTTTCAGTTGATTCCAATATTTGTAAACAAATAATAAATGAACGGTATAATTTATTTTTCATCTTTATTACTTAAAAAGTAGACTAAACTGTATTGAAAACTATTAAAGTTGTGAATGACAAGTAAAGATGAAAAATGCAGTGAAACTTCTGTCACGCTAATAATGTACAATAAAAACAGTATTTCTTCTTAAATTTCTGTTTTTCTCGCGCGAATTAATGATTAAAGTAAAACTCATACATTGAATAAAGGGATGGATAATATGAGAAAGGGACGGTTGATGTCAATCTTCTCTTTCATATATTTCAACTTTTCATTCTTCCTGGAAAGCCTGACAATAATTTATAAATTAACTATAACAATGTTGTGAAAATCCAGAAGATACCTTAAATAATACAGACGACACAGGTAATTGCCAGAATGAGACAGTACAATAGATTTCATGTAATCCAGTGAAAATGGCATTATTATTCTCAATACTTTTGATATACAATAATAATCATTATTAATTAATTAGGTACAGGAACACTTTATCATTCGTGGTATTAATTAAAGATAATCAATTACATACAATAAACTGTTATCAGCCACGGTGCATCGCCTCCAAGCCTCGGCGTCATTGAATTCATTTAATGTAGATACTACATTTGTTTTTCTCCGTTTCTCTCGGTTTCTGTCAAAAATTTAAAAATCAGTTTTAGGAAGCGAGCGCCTACGACTATAAGAATCGAACCAGTATGCGAAGGCCATTCGAGAAGATTTCAATCACGCGTTCGATTTTCTCCACTTCTTTTTTTTATACATATATACATATATACGTATATATGTATATATATATAATTCATTTCCTAACAGAATCGTTTAAAAGTGAAAGAGAAACAGAATGGTCGTGTATATCGTCGTCGAAAATTCGATATTTAAAACGCAATGTGTTCAAAGTAACGAGCTGATAATATTCTTTAGCGTTAACGATGCTAATTATTAAGCTTGCAAAGACTACGATGAAGTTTGGAAAAAAATATATACAAAACGCTCGGTGTATCAAATTTATCCTCTCGATATTAGACCCGCTGGTCTCCAATTTATAAGTATCTCTTAACCTTTTTTTTTCCTTAGGCTTACTTCGATCTTACTGCACTAAAAAGGCACAATTTTTCGCACCTGATAAAACATTGTGTTACGGTCTAGAGACTAATGATTCCTTCTTTTCTTTTATTTTTTCCACCAAAGTATGTACTTCGTGTTTCCTCCCTCCCCCATCCCCCCACCCCCCGAATGCCAATTTTTGTATTGTGCTTCTATTTTCCAGTATGTTTGTGT